AGTGTTAATTGAGTTCATATGTGAAAGGCACTTGGCATCATGTGGTGAGGAAGGGCTCAGCAATTGTTGCCTGTGTTTATTATTACACTATAAAGCTCAGAACCCTTTGCTTGCTTTGTGTTCCTCTGTATGGTATTTTCAGTGGAATATCTTGCATATCCCTATATATATATATTTTCATGTTTGAGCCTCCCTAAACCTCATTATCCCAGGATTCATCAGTATTTAAACTTAGTGTTGTTGTTGTTGTTGTTGTTTTCTTCTCTAGAATCTCCTTTTCCCCATTCCACGCCTAAGTAAACCATACTGAAGAACACAAGTGTGACAGAAAAAAAGGATCCAGGAGTCATGAAGAATTCCAGGATGACCCAGAATCTCCCTAGTTATACTAGCATTTTTATTTGAAAGTAGCATAGGCCAGGTGCGGTGCCTCAGGCCTATAATCCCAGCACTTTGGGAGGCTGAGGCAGGTGGATCACTTGAGGTCAGGAGTTCGAGACCAGCCTGGTCAACATGGTGAAACCCCGTTTCTACTAAAAATATGAAAGTTAGCCAGGTGTGGTGGTGCACACCTATAATCCCAGCTACTCTAGTGGCTGAGGCATAAGAATCACTTAAACCCAGGAGGCAGAGGTTGCAGTGAGCCGGGGCTGCACCACTGCACTCTAGCCTGGATAACAGAGTAAGACTCTGTCTAAAAAAAAAAACAAAAAGTAGCTTAAGATGGTGGTACAGGGATGTGTGACCCTTTGTTACTGAAACACCAGGGGTTCAGTCTAGGTCCTGTTGCTCACTACACAGAAAGTCAATCACTGAGACAATGAGTATTTCTAGGGAAGAAGGCTTTAATCGAGTGTTTCAGCCAAGGAGATGGGAAATCAGTCTCAAATGTGTCTCCCCAACAACTAAAATTAGGGGTTTATGTAGTGGGGAAAGAAATGTAACCATGTGTGAGAGGTAAAGAAGAGGAGCTGGTCAACAGGCAGTGGGTGGTTGGTTAGGCAGTTATGACAGATGAGAGGTCTGGCATTTCATTGTCCAGATGCTATGGGCTAGTGAGTTTCAGTTCTTTGATACTATTTGGCAGAACTGATGGTTGATTTCCTGAAAAAGGAACTCTGATAAAACTAAATGTCTCAAGTTTTAAGACTGGGAGGTTCAATTTCTGTGTTTATTCAAAAGAAACCATACATCAGTTCTATGGGACAATTGGGCCAGTTTCACCTCCTTTTTATTTCTTCACCTCGAGTGACGTGGAGTCTGAAGCTAAGCAGGGGATCAGTATGCACATGGACTGCTGAGAGGCTGCTCTTTCTCATGTTTAGGGTTGGTCACTGAATTCTGCCTCTGGTCCTTGGCTGTCTGGAGAAGCAACTGAACATAGACAAAGTAAAAACTCGTTAAAGAGGTGACAGATGTCACTCAGAGGAAATGAATACACCTTGAAGTGGGTATGTTTTAATCAGAGACAAAGAAGCTTTTCAGCAGTTCTAGAAAATGATAGCCAACATTTATTGATTATCATATGCCAGGCACTGTGTTAAACACTTCACATACATTATCTTTTTAATGTCAAAACAAACTTGCGAGCTGTTACTATTATCTTCATTTACAAATGTGACACCAAGATTTAGGGAGGTTGAGTTATTTGTTGAGAGTTGAAACTAGCTGTCTGATGCCAAAGTCTGTTATTTATTATTTTCAGAAGTCTCTAAAATATCAGTCCTTCTAAACTCCATCTGGTCAATGGATCAATTGGGTTAGTGGTTTTTAAACTTTTGACCTTAGTCCACAGTAACGAATACATTTTCTTTCATGACCATGACTCATGACTCAGGACACACACACACACACACACACACACACACACACACACACACACACAGTCTTACACACCCCCCCCTTTTTTTTTTTTTTGAGAGAAGGTCTTGGTCTGTCACCCAGGCTGGAGTGCAATGGCATGATCTTAGTTCACTTCAACCTCTGCTTCCCAGGCTAAAGCAATCCTCCCACCTGAACCTTCTGAGTAGCTGAGACTACAAGTATGTGCTACTATGGTTGGCTCATTTTTGTACTTTTTGTAAAGATGAGGTTTCACTATGTTGCCCAGGCTGGTCTTGAACTACTGGGCTCAAGTGATCCGCCTGCCTCAGCCTCCCCAAATGCTGGGACCACAATGAGCCATCGTACCCAGCCTGTACACTCATATTTACATGCCCACATACAAAAAGTAAAACTGAAACAAAAGTTTCACAACTCAATAGTTGCACTTCCTATATGTTTTCTATTAAATTTGCATTTTATTGCCAAAAAAAAGGCTTCTTATAACCACCAAATTTGTACGTGGTAATTTGCACTTTGAAAATCTTAGAATATTTTTAGTCTTTTTTCAAATTATTGGATCCTTATGTTTCTGTATTTCTTGGAAATCCTTTTAGGCTTATCCCACCCACTAGTCATTCCAGGAAATACCTTCTCATCATATATGTAAACATTTAGTATGACATGGTTATAAGATCTTAGAGTATTATTTTATAGAAATTACTAAAAAGGTATTTTGTAAAGTGGGTTTTTTGTGTTTTGTAACAGGAGAATTTGCTTTTATTTATCTTATTACCAAAAGAAATTGTATTATACTGATCATTTCCATGTGTGTTTTTAAAGTTGCTTGGCTGGGTTGAATCTTTATTCTTTAAGTTACAAGGGCATTGTATTCAAATAAAAGGAACAATCATAATATTATTAATTAGAAGAGCAATAAGGTTTTGGTTTCCATGCAAATAAGCATAATTGAAATAGAACTGAGTGTTTTTCAAGTGGATTTCAAAACTGGTGGAAAAACTTGGAAAATAAATATCTCAAATCTAAAGCAAATGCAATCTGTATATGTAAATAAGTGATTAATTTTAGCAGGCAAATGAGAAAATCAATGATTTTCAAAATCTAGTAATTTGGTAACCATTAGTTTCATTAGTCATTCTGTTTTAAACTTAATTATTTAAATATAGAACTAGATTGAAGTATAATTTATGGAGGAATTATCCTTAAATTAATTACATGCAAACTTTTCTCTATAAATGGAAGAATTGAGGGTGAAATTATAAATGCTTATTGCAGAGCATGGAGTCCTTTGGTCATGGCTTGTTCAAGTTTGACTTGGGAGATGATGTGGAAATGGGAGTACACTAGCTTTGATTCAAAGCAAGATCTGAATCTCAGCTTTGACTCTGTGAGCTCTTAGGCAATTTCTTAACTTCTAAAGGGCTTCAAATTTCTTAACTATTATATTAAATAATTATATCTATGCTGCAGAGCAATTGTAGAGACTAAATAAGGAAATGTATGTGAAAATCTTAACCTAGTGTCAGGCACACAGATAAGGCTCTTGTTAGGAATGGTGTCCCCCAACCCCTCACCTTCCTGGGTGGATGGAGAAAGTCTTGGGTTCAGGAAATTCTGTGTTTCTGGGACTGCTTAGGGAAGAGTGCATGGTCTGCTGGCATTTCCCCATTAGTTGGCAGTAATCTTATCTGATGACATTCTGTGGATCTCTCACAGTATCGTTTCCATCAGGAAACCAAGATGGGCTTTAGCAGGTAGGTCCTTTGAATTGTTGAAAAGGCCAGAACAGCAGATGAAGTAGGGACAAATTCATACATTTGGTTTTGTTTTTATTTCCCCATTGCAATGATTGGTTTTCCTAATATTTTTCATTTCCTCTTCTTACTAAATTGTCTCATTATGACAATCATGATAACCAATACCCATATGCTACCTACTCAATGACTTTGTGGGATAACTAGGGTAGGTATTAGTTTGTTCTCATGCTGCTGTAAGGATATACCCAAGACTGGGTAATTTATAAAGGAAAGAGGATTAATTGATTCACAGGTCCACAGGGCTGGAGAGGCCTCAGGAAACTTACAATTTTGTTGGAAGAGGAAGCAAATATGTCATTCTTCACAAGACAGCAGGAGAGAAGAATGAGAGTTGAGCAAAGGGGGAAGCCCTTTCTAAAACCATCAGATCTCGTGAGAACTTACTATCACGAGAATAGCATGGGGGAACCACCCCCATGATTTGATTACGTCCCACTAGGTCCCTCCCACTACACATGGGGATTATGGGAACTACAATTCAAGATGAAATTTGAGTGGGGACACAGTCAAACCATATCAGGTATTATTATGGACATTATATAGACAAGGAAATAGAAGCTCAGAGAGGTTACATGGACTGCCCAAGACCATGCAGCTAGAAAGAGATTGAGATTCATACCCATCTGGAGGTTCCAAGTTTGTTTTATATATATATATATATACACACACACTATATATACTTAAATTACATTTAATTTTTAAAATTAACACATAATATACATATTCATGGGGTACATAGTGATATTGTGATACATATATAGTGTCTAGTGATCAGATCTGGGTCATTATATTCATCATTTAAAGAATTTGTCATTTCTTTGTTCATTCCATATCCTCCTTCAATATCCTCAATACTCAATATCTCCTGGCTATTTAAACTAATACATTGTTAACTATGCTCATCCGGCTGTGGTACAGAACACTAGAACTCATTCTTCCTATCTATCTGTAATTTTGTGTCTTTTAACAAATCTTGCCCTATCCTCTCCCTCCTCCACCCCTTTTAGCCTCTCATATCCTGTTTTACTATTTGCCTCTATATCATCAACTTTTTTTCTTTTTTTCTTCTTCTTCTCCTCCTCCTTCAACTGAAGTTTCTCTCTTGTCACCCTGGCTGGAGTGCAATGGAGGAATCTTGGCTCACTGCAACCTTTGCCTCCTGGGTTCAAGTGATTCTCTTGCCTTAGACTCCCAAGTAGCTGGGATTGCAGGCATCTGCCACCATGCCTGGCTAATTTTTGTGTTTTTAGTAGAGACGGGTTTTCACCATGTTGGCCAGGCTGGTCTCAAACTCCTGACCTCAAGTGATCCACCCACCTCAACCTCCCAAAGTGCTGGTATTATAGGCATGAGCCACCGCGCTTCGCCAACATCAACTTTTTTAGTTTCCACATATGAATGAGAACACGCAGTGTTTGACTTTGTGTTCTTGGCTTATTTTCTTCTAACATAATGTCCCCCGAGTTCCATCCATGAGCTTTATTCTTCTCAATCAAGCTTTGCCCCGCATGGATGCTGCTGGTGGGCCATAGGCAAGGCTTGGTGAAATGGTACATGTCACTGCAGGCCCTACTGCACTGGGGGAGAGTGGCAGATGATAATTAGTCTGATGTTAGTTGAAATTTCTTCTTCAGAGCCTAGCAGGCTGCTCAGCAAATGGAAGATCATTAAACTGAAGGGAACCATCTGACCCAAAAAGGGAAAGATCACCAGGGTGAATGTAGTCAGGAGTCATTCACTTTGCCCAGCACAGTGAACCTAGAATAGCACAGAACAATTTTTAAAAAGTAGAAGACAATTGGAAGACTTATATGAGTTGATTTTAAGTCTTAACATAAAGTTACAGTATTCCATAGAGTGTGGTATTGGCATAAAGGTAAAAATATAGATCAATAGAATAGAAAAGAGAGTCTAGTAACAAACCCACACATAAATGGTGAATTGATTTTTGACAAAGATGTGAAGACGATTCAATAAGAAATGTTCTAATGGTCAATTAGAACAATTTACAATACATATGCACAACAATGAACATCAACCCTTACCATACACAAAAGTTAATCTAAAATGGGCCACAGACCTAAATGCAAAGCCTAAAACCATAAAACTTCTAGAGAAAAACATAGGAGAAATTCTTGGTGATCTTGGGATAGGCAAAACTTTCTTAGATAGGACCCAAAAAGCATTAATCCTAGAAGAAAAAAATAAAGATAAATTGGACTTCAGCACAGTAACTTCTACTTTTCAAAATCTACTTTGAGAAAATGAAATAAAAAGACACACGGGAGAAACTATTCAAAAATATATATCTAATACAGATATTCAGAATATAAAACTCTTACAACTGAGTATGAACAAAAATTGGCGAAAGACTTAAATGTACACTTCAAAAAAGAAGACATACAAGTGGTGAATAAAGATGCCCAACATTATCTTGGAAATGCAGATTAAAACCTCAATGAGATACCACTTCACACTGACCAAAATGATTAAATTAAAAAGGCTGACATTATCAGGTTTTTCTGAAGATGTAGAGTAATCCAAACTTTCATAAATTACTGGTGGGATTATAAAACAATTTAACCCTATTTGAAAAGAGCTGGATGGTTTCTCATAAAGGTATACACGCCCTGACCATATGACCCAGAAATTCCACCCCTATTTACCTAACAGAAACAAAACCATATGCCCAAAGATGTATACACAAATGTTTCTAGCTGCTTTATTCATGTTCATCAACAAACTGAAAACAAGTAAAATATCCATCAGCAATTGAATGGATAAACAAATTGTGGTGGCCGGGCATGGTGGCTCAAGCCTGTAATCCCAGCACTTTGGGAGGCCGAGACGGGTGGATCATGAGGTCAGGAGATGGAGACCATCCTGGCTAACATGGTGAAACCCCGTCTCTACTAAAAAATACAAAAAACTAGCCGGGCGAGGTGGCGGGCGCCTGTAGTCCCAGCTACTCAGGAGGCTGAGGCAGGAGAATGGCGTGAACCCGGGAGGCGGAGCTTGCAGTGAGCTGAGATCCGGCCACTGCACTCTGGCCTGGGCGACAGAGCGAGACTCCATCTCAAAAAAAAAAAATTGTGGTAAATTTGTAAAATAAAGCATTGCTCAGCAATAAAAAATAAAATACTGATAAAACAACATGGGTATACCTCCAGAACCTTTTGAGTGAAAGAATTCAGACACAAAATATGCCATTTATGAGACATTCTTGAACTGCCTGATTAATCATTGGTGATAGAAATGAAACCAACTCAATAGTTCCATAGTTTTATTTGGGAGGGGGATAAACATAGAAATTAACCCTTCTGTTAGTAAAAGGTTCTATTCGAGTTCCCTCCTTAGGAAATGACCGTCAGGCCTCTAAACCTACCAAACTTTGAGTTTCTAGTGAAACTCATCAGATCACCACATCCAGACAATGAAATGCCAGACCACTCATTCATCACGATTGCTTCCTTGCTCCTCCTTAGTTCCTGTTTTCTTACACATTGTTGCATTTCTTCCCTGCTATAAACACCTCTAATTTTAGCTGGTCAGGGAGATGGATTTGAGACTGAGCTCCTGTCTTTTGGCTGCAGCATCCGATTAAAGCCTTCTTCTGCCTTGGCAATACTCATCATCTTAGTCATTGGCTTTCTGTGTGGGGAGCAGCAGGACCTAGATGGAATGCCTGGTGTTTCAGTAACGGACATCCTATCAGTGATAGTTGGGGTGCCAATGATTGGCTGAAAAACAGAACAAAGGGAAATCCTGTGGTGATGGGACACTGTATCTTTTTGCCCACTTGTGTAGATATTGTCAAAAATCTTCAAACCATATGTGTAAAACATGAAATTTATTGTATGTAAATTGTATTTTCATAAAAGGCAAAAAAATGGAAACTTTATGTATCAAACAATATTAAGAGTATAAAGATAAACTACAAGTCTATATTTTCAACATATATAATCAATGATCATTTAATATCTAAAGACTCACAACAGATCAAAAAGAAAAAGACAAGCTAAAAAAAGTGGGCAAAAAAATAAAGCATTTCAGAGGAAAGGAAATTTGAAATGGCCATAAACATATGCAAAGATGTAGTATCTCCTTAGAAATCAGGGAAATGCACATTACAATTATAAGTAGATGCCATTTCACCCCTAGTAGACTGACAAAACTTATGTAATGAAAAATAGTAGAGAAAAACAGAACCTTACAGTATGTTGTTGGGAATGTAAAATGCGTATAAACATGTTGGGAAAAAAACTGGCATTATCTTTTCAGGTGGAGATGAGTAATATCTCTGACTCAGCAATTCCTCTTCCAGGTACACACAAAAGATCTCTTCTTGTTTGTGTGTACCAGGAGAACTGCAGAAATATGTTCTTAGTAGCAATGTTTGTGATAGCAAAGAGCTGGAAACAACTCAAATATTCATTAAGAGGAGAATGTATACATAAATGGAGGTTTTTTTCATGTGATGGAATACTATGGCAAAATGAATGAACCATAACTGCATGCATCAGTTACAGTGAATCTTAAGGAAACATTATGCTGAACGATAAAACTAAGTTTCTGAAGAATATTAAGAGTACAATACTGTTTGTATAACCTTCAAGCAAACAAAACTGTACAATTGTTTAGGGATAGATATTATTCAGTTACACTTTATATGAAAGCAAGGTACCAATACAACAAAATCAAAATTCAAAATCATGTTTCCCTTTGAAATGAGGGAGAGGTATATAGGGTGATTGAAGGGAATTGAAATAATCTATTTTGAACTTGACTCACCAGAACAATGGTGTTTTATAATTCTGGATATATCATCTATGATTCCTCCCCTCTCCCCTCCCCTCCCCTCCCCTCTCCTGAGTCTCACGCTGTTGCCCAGGCAGGACTGTAATGGCGCCATCTTGTGCAACCTCCGCCTCCCAGGTTCAAGCTCATGCCTCAGCCTCCCGAGTAGATGGGACTACAGGCATGTGCCACCACGCCTGGCTAATTTTTTGTATGTTTAGTAGAGATGGGGTTTCATCATGTTGGCTAGGCTGGTCTCCAATTCCTGACCTCAGGTGATCCGCCCGCCTTGGCCTCCCAAAGTGTTGGGATTACAGGCTTGAGCCACCACGCCTGGCCTGCATTTTCATATTTTTTGTGTGTGTATATAAATATTTTCATAATAAAACATTTAAATGGGTTTTTAAAAAGTTGAAACAATATTTATAGCACGTGGACTAGCGTCCTACATGAGGCAGTGCAAATACAAGTTAAATTATGAATGAGCTTGTGTTGGAAGAACATAAATGAGATGAATCCTTCAGTGACAGACTAGGGGCCTTTGGTCTGCAAGGCTTGAAATGCCAGGCAGATGCCTGGGAATTGGAGTGGTGAGTGCTGGGTGGGCCTGAGGAGCCTGCAGCTCGAGGCCCTGGAGTGAAACCTGCACAGGGGCAGACACTGTGTGGGGAGGCTTCGGGACCTTGAAAGCTCTCCCAGATTTACATGGAGAGACAGCATGGTGAGCAGCCCTGACCAGGACTTGCCCTCCTTTCCCTGGAGGAGCCACATAGAATGACCAAAAATGACTTGCTTTCCAGCCTTCGCAAATGAGGGGTTTCAATGATGTTTTACTTGATTTCAAAAAAATAAGATATTTCTCGTACCTTGAGAGAATTGGCTTGGTTTCTACCCAACACTAAAGAAAAGAATAATCAGCAATATGACTTTATAACAGGATGTTCATAACAGCATTTATTTATAATATCAAAAACGGGGCTTTTATATCTAAATATCTATATATTTGTATATTCTTATATATAATTTTGTATGTAAGTACTATATATGTTTATACTTTATACAAGTCCTATTATATGATATATGAATACAAAATATAAAATACACAAGTATATATATGCAATATATAAACTTATAACTGTATTGTAAAATATTTCAATATATACCTATTGAAATGTAAATATAAACCCACTTTTTGATATAAATATTGTTGTTATGAATGTCCTATTGTACGTTGTAAAATACTCACTGATGTTATTTGTTAGTGGCGAGACTATGGAATTTAAAAAAATCTTTCATGCTCTGACTTTCCCACAGAGCCTATGAAGACATGTTATTGCTCCTTAAACACTAAATTAAATATCTGGTGCTTGATTTTAAGAAAAGTGCATGATCACATAGACACAGTGCTTGTGCCTCTTCATGCTCCTAGAGCTTCCAGTCTCATCAGGCAATTCGCAGGGACTGCTGACGCAGGTGGGGGCGCCATAGTCATGGCATGAGGTTTCCACAGAGGGTGACTTCCCACATGTGTGTGTCACTTCTGGTCCCAGTTTGACTCCTGGGTGTTCACGGCCCTTTTCACAAGCTTCAGTGACTCACCTTATACATGGCTCCATCGTAGCACTTGCAACTTTTATAAAATAACATAACTCAAAAGCTAAGGGTAAGTAAGCAACATTTCAGACCAAATTTTGATGTAGCTTATTTGAAGGATTAATGGATGATGCAGGCTCTCCCATTCTGAATAGCAATGATAGCAACAGACTTAAAACACGATGGTGCCACAGGTTTCCAGGGGAGGCTGCCAGTGTGTGGGGTCGGGGTGCCTTAGATGTCAGGCTGATAGGTTTTCTCTTCTTTTGATCTGATGGCTGGGGTCACACTGAAGTGCTAAAGATGAAGAACTTCTATCTTAGGGACATTGTCTTCTGAAATTTCATGAGGTTAGATCTTTACTGCCA